TGGGAGGCCGAGGCAGGAGGATCACTGTGAGTCTGATGCCATCCTGGACTACATAGTGAGTTCAAGACCAGCCTGAACTACATAGTGAGACCCTGACACTAAAAAAAAAAAAAAAAAAAAAAAAAAAAGTAAGCCATGCACCTGTTATTCTGGCATTCATATAATTAGTTTCCAGTTTAATGTTTCGGTTGTGATTATTTTATGTCAAGTTACTAAATAATTATATTCTATTAAATTATATAATGGTGAAATATAAATACTTTTCTGTTTTAAGAATCTGAATTTATTTAGCAGTTTTTTCCAAAATTTTACACTAATAATTGGCAGATAGTCACTTGTAATCCATTTTTTAAGTAAAATGATACAAGTAGATTTGCAAATAGGCACATGCATAAAATTTTGAATTTTCACATGTAGGTTTCAGAATTGGTGAAGCAGTATAAGCGAGAACACTTAACAGTGTGGGGTAATGCCAGTTATGAAATTGTAGAAAAGTGCTACAAAGAGGTAAGCTTTAAAAATAATACGGAATGATCTATCTTTGCTGTTGTCATGTATCTGTCAATAAGTCATTACAGCAATAATTTTTAAAACTTAACTTATTTCATAGCATGAATACAAAAACATAATACTGAATGGAAGCAGTTATCTAGATGTTTGCTTATGAACATAACGGATTTTGACTTTGCAATTTAAGTTCATTGTAATCAGATTGGTTCACAGAATTATTTTCACAAGCTAATGTTTTGTTGGCATTTTATATGCATTATAAAACAAAATATGAATCCCATTTTCAATGTCTAGTTTTGTTAAGTAATTGACTTTTTAATGTAATTTTAAAGTATGTAGTCTATGAACTTCTTGTTGCCCTGTCCCCCAAATAGACTTCAATTAAGCCACAAACATATTTAAAAAAAAAAAAAAAAAGCCACAAACATATTGGGGGTATTATATAAAACAGAGCCATCTACTCATTGAAAGTTTTCTGCTTGAAGGAAATAAATCTATAAGAATTAATTTGAGCCACGGTGGTAGCACATGCCTGTCATCTGAGCACTCCAGAGGCTGAGGCAGGAGGATTGCCTCGAGTTCAAGGCCAGCCTGGGCTGCATAGTGAGATACTATCTCAAAAAAAAAAAAAAAAAATTAATTTGATATTTTTTGAAATGATAGCTAAGAAAATTGGAAATTCAAAATGTTTTTAAAAATTGTAAGCATGGAAGACTCCTCTTATCGTACAAGTGATATCATAGTGTAGAAGTATCATGACAGAAATAGTAGTTCTCATATGCAGAGAACTCTTCTAGGATAGTCCTTTCTTCCTAGCAAACAAGGCAAAAACATCCATGATCAGCACCAGTGCAGTTCACAGTGCACTGGAGGCACTTGTGACAGCAAGGAGGTTTTCTTTCTGTGCAGCAGGCCCTGTGAGGTGCCAAGGTAGCTTGCGTTCAGAAGGAACCAAGCAATCACTCGGCCAAGCAGCCTCAGCTCCTAGGAGCTTAGAACTAAGACTTCTCTAGAACGAATCACTGTCTAGTGGTATTTTCACATGTTATGCACTGAGGCCTGCTGACCTGCTGACCTTTTTACATCATCACACACATTTTCAGATAAAAAATGATGATATTAGCCAGGTGTGGTAGTGCATGCCTGTAATCCCAGCACTCAGGAGGCTGGGGCAGGAGGATCGTTGCAAATTCAAGACCAGCCTGGGCTATAAAGTGAGCTCAAAGCCAGCCTGATGTGCATATTGAGACCCTGTCTCAAAAAGACAGCCCCCCCCTCAAAAAAATGATGATACTGACAGCTGGAAAGGAGGCAGAAGAGAAACTGGATCTCTTACAAGTTGCTGGTAGCGAATGCAAAATCGTGCAGCCACCCTCTTCAGTAGTTTGCTCTTTATAAAACGAAACACACCTTACCATGTGAACCAGCAGTGTCACCTTGGTCATTTATCCCAGAAAAATGAAAGTATGCACACAAACACTTGTACCTGAATTTTTAAATTTTGTAATTTGTACTAGTACATGTTTTCAGTACATAATGATTATATTCATTATGTACCTGGATTTTTATAGGCACTTCATTTGTAAAAGCAAACTGCTGGAGAAAACCAACTGTCTTCAGTAGGCAAATAGCAGAACAAATTGGGAGATCCACAGGATGGGACACTAATCAGCAGTGAAAGGGAGTGACCTGTTAATACCTGCAGCAACCTGGCCGGTGCTCCAGGCCGTTACGCTTAGTAAAAACGCCCCAAGAGCACATACTGTAAAAAAATTCCCACATGCTGTATGATTTCATTGATATATAATATTCTCAAAACTGTAAACATGGAGAGCTGATTAAGGCTGCCAGGGGACAGGGACTGAGGACAGGGTAGAGAGTTGGCATAAATCCTAAGAGATGGCACAAGCGAGTTTGTATGGTGATGAAACGGTTTTGTGTCTTGCTTATGGTGGCAGCTACGTGGATCTACACATGGATTAACATTGCATAGAACTCGCACATATACATATGCACACACATAAATACAGTTTTCAAAATGGTAAAACTTCCCTCCCCCCAAAAAAAGTCCCAGTACTCGGGAGGCTGAGGCAGGAGAATCATTGTGAGTTCGAGGCCAGCCTGGCCTACAAAGTGAGTTCAAGACCAGCCTGAACTGCATAGTGAGACCCTGCCTCAAAAAGACCAAAAAAAAAAAAAAAAAACCACACAAAACAAACAAACAAAAAAGTGGTGAAAACTGAATAAGGTTTGTTGCCTGAATTAATAATAATGTGCCATTCTGGGCATGGTGGTACACACCTGTAATCCCAGCACTCAGGAGGCTGGGGCAGAAGGATTGCCATGCGTGGTCTGCCCTTGTCATGCAGTTATGTCAAATGTCACCTTTTGGGGAAGCTGGGTGAAGGAAGGATGAGAGTCTCCCAGTTTTGCAACTTTCTGTGTCTATAATTATTTCAAAAATTAAAAAAAGAAATCTCTCCTGGCCCTCACTCACAGAGTGTTTTCCTTGATTTACATTCTTTTCTTTCCAGAAGCTTTAGCTTTGTTATTGTAGAATATGAAAACTCCAAAAACTTTCCTGCAATGACATTCAAGCATTATAGTAAAAAATGTCTCAATAATTACCATTCACATTACCATTGTGCTATGTAATTGACTTTTTTTTTTTTTTTTCCCAGTCTTTTTGAGACAAGGTTTTACTGTTCAGCTCAGGCTGGTCTTGAACTCATTTTAGTCCAGGCTGGCCTCAAATTTACAGCAATCTTCCTGCCTCAGCCTCCTGAGTGCTGGCATTGCAGGCATGTGCCACCACACCTGGCCTTGATCCATTTTTTATAGTTTGTATATATGATCAGGCAGACTTTTATTTTAGTCCTTTAAGGCCCAGATGCTATAAACTTAAAATATAAAAGTAACAGGCGGTGAAACACACAATGGTGCCGGAGAACATGTGGCACTGGCTCTCACTTGATGACTTCTCATTCGCTCACACAGAGAGCAGTGGTTCTTAAGTCTGGCTGCACATACTGAACAGCTTGGAAAGTTACGGTTGTCATAATCCCAGCACTTGGGGGACTGAGGCAGCAAGGTCAAGGCCAGCTTGAACTGCGTAGTGAGACCGTGTCTCAAAAGAATAAAAAAAAGACTGGTGTGGTGGCACACACCTGTAACCCCAGCACTTGGGAGGCTGAGGCAGGAGGATCCTTGTGAGTTCGAGACCAACCTGGGCTACACAGTGAGCGCAAGTCCAGCCTGAACTGTGTAGCAAGACCCTGTCTCAAAAAAAAAAAAAAAAAAAAAAAAAAAAAAAAAAGAAATTAAAAAAAGAAGAAAATTACAAATGTCTTGGTTCCATCTCACATTTCTAATTTAAAAGATTTAAAGTATAGTCAGTTGTTCAACATGTGCCAGCTAACCACTGTCCCCCACTCCTCCTGGCAGCTGTGCATAGCTCTCCGGAAGTACCAGTCACTGTTTTTTGGTGTTCTCATTCCAAAGTGGCATAAATGCTGAGGGCCAGCCCATAAACCTGCTTTTCCCTAAGCTTCGTGATCCATGGTATATCAATTTGCAGAATTCAAGGTTTTTCAGGGGCTTGTATTACAGCTGAAACACCTGTATATAAATAATCCAGAAACATTACAAAGCACCGTGTGAACACAGAGGCAAAACAAATCCGCAAACCAAGGCCAAGTGTGGTAGTGCATGCCTGTAGTCTTAGCATTCAGGAGGCTGAGATAGGAGGATCCGTCTTGAATTGTGAGTTCAAGGCCAGGCTGGGCTACAGACTGAGTTCAGGGCCAGCCTGAACTGTGTAGTGAAATGCTGTCTCAAAAAGACCAAAAAAAAAAAAATCCTCCAACTTTATTTTTCTTTAAATAAAGAAGTAGGTAATTTATAGTTATTCAAAATAAATTACTTTTTCATGATTTTCAATTCATTACTCATATAGAAAAATTCATTTTAAGTCTCAGAACTGCATTAAAGTGTATGTGTGTGAGAAGAGATGAGAGCAGGGGAAAAGGGAGTTAGTATTTAGTGAGTATAGAATTTCAGTCTTGTAAGATGAAAAGACTTCTGGAGATTTATTGCACAAGAACACAAATGTACTTGATATCCCTGAGCGGTCACTTAAAAATAGTTAAGATGGGAACCAGAGGTGGTGGCTTACGCCTGAGTCACGCTCAGGAGGCTGAGACAGAAGGATTGCAAGTTCTAGGCCAGCTTGTACTACAGAGTAACAGCAGTCTCAAAATAAAATGAAAAAAAAAGTTAAGGTAGCAAATTTTGTTATGGCCAGGCATGGTGACGCACGCCTGTAATCCCAGCACTCGGGAGGCTGAGGCAGGAGGATCGATGTGAGTTCGAGACCAGCCTGGGCTACAAAGTGAGCTCAAGGCCTGCCTGAGCTGCATAGCGAGACCCTGTCTCAAAAAGACAACAAAAACAAAAACAAATTTTGTTATGGAATGTATATTTTATATATTTGAAAGTTATAGCTTTCAATTCTAAAAGTTTTGGAATTTTAAACACATTTCCCAATAGAAACTCAGAATGGTAGATTCTTGCACTTAACAAATCTAAATCCTATTTATATTTTGTATTTGATCCATAACATACATGAACCATGACCTATATAGATACCGTGTTCTGTAGAGCACATGGTTGATCACAAAATACAGTGGATTTTAAATTTTTTAAAAAAATGTATTATAGTAAACGACATTGCCATTGACCCCCTTCAAATACTCCTGCTTTCTTCAAATTTATCCCATCAATCTTGCCGCTCTGTGAAGCAGTTCTAGAAGTCCTCTTTTGTCGGTATCTTTGTCTGTGCTGTCATGGCCGCTTCAAAGTCCTGCATCGATCTAAAACATTCATCTTTGGTGGCTGTACTGACGTTGGGAAAGAGCCAGAAATCGCCCAGTGCAATCCAGTGAATACGGTAGATGAAGACACACCATGATGCTTTTATTTAATAGAAGGCTTTATAACCATTTTGAGCGGATTCAGGACACAGAGGCAGTGACAAAAAGGCAAAAGAGAACTTCCAGAACCTCCTGAGAATGCAGCAAGAATGATGGGGGACGATGGGGGGCAAGGCTGGGGAAGGAAAATGGGGAGTTGCTGTTCAATGAGGAAGGTATGCGAATGGATGAAGATTGAGGGGGACGAATGACAGTGCATTTACTGTGATATTTTCATCGCGCCTCTTTTTAAAACCAGTGTCAGATTACTGAATATCTCTTTGATTCATCTCTCTATTTTGTCCCGTTAGATTCTAATATATTTAGTGTCTTGTGAATACTATGCCCACCAGATAGAAGTGGTATTGCACATGCAGAGAAAAGGAACAGAGAAACTTTCGCAATATTAATAACATGATAGGGCTCCAAGGTAGCACCTTGTTTGTTAGAGTAGCCACTTCTAAGGGTAATCCTAATTCAGGGAGGCCTTCAATGGATGTTGAGATACAGTGTTAGGAAATTTTGAGGCTTATGAAATACTGCTCTTTATGTGAGCAATTACTGTAAAGTAACATGTAATACTGTTTTTCTTTTAGAATTCAGATATTCCTATACTCTTCAGTCTACAACGTGTTCTGCTTATTCTTGGCCTTTTCTTCACCGGCCTCTTGCCTTTCGTGCCTATTCGAGAGCAGTTTTTTGAAATCCCAATGCCTTCCATCACGCTGAAGTAAGTGGTTACCCTGTTTTCATCAATCATGAATTATAGAAGGATTAAGAAAAAAAAGCTCACTGATATCAGTATTGCTCTGATTTGTTTGTTCGTGTTTTAGTGCTGAGCCTTGAACCCGCTGGAGCTTTGCCCTCTGCCACTGTGGGGTGGATGGCGTTCACCCCCTCATTTCGGGGCCTGGTCCCCAGTGTAACAGTGTGGAGTGGTGGTGGGAACAGTAAGAAGTGATCAGGTCTTTACGAGGGATTAATGTTTTTCTTGTGTGAACAAGTTCTCATCTTTGGCTTTCTCTTCTTCCCTCATACATGTGCCTCTCTTCCACACACTGCTTTTCTGCCACCGTGAAGCCCTCACAAGAAACCAATCAAATACCAGATCTCTAGAACTGTGAGCTAAATAAACCTCATTTCATTATAAATTGCTCAGCCTCAGGTATTTTGTTACAGCAATAGAAAAGCATACTAAGACAAATGTCAGTGATGAATAGGTTTCTGTGGGTCTAGGATGTAGTGCAGTGGTATGGCACTTGCCTAGCATGCACGAGGCCCACACAGTATGCACACAGGAAGGATAATTTCTGTAGTTGCTTGCATGTTCTGTGTGACCTATGTTGACAGTGGTTTTGGTATAATCAAAATACATTTTCTAAAATAAATGGTTAGAAATACTTAATCTGAGCCCATCTCAGGTTATAGTGTTGTTCTGTACCTTTGTACTCAGAAGTCAGATAAAAAAGTATTAAGTTTAACTACAGAAGTTTACCAGTTTTTTAATTTTGATGTCAAACAGCAATTGCCCTTCAACCTCCCTTTATTTTACTTCATTGGCAGCAATACCCAGCTGAAACTTCTTTTAACTCCAAATTCACCAGTAGGATTAACACATTGAGGAGGGAAAGCTACTACTATTACAACTACTAAAAAAAAGAAGGAACAAACACAGAAAAACCTTTGCTGATAGGAGAAAGAAAAGTAGTTACTTTGTGTAAGATATGTTTGTATTTATATAATCTCTCTTCTAGCTGCAAAGCCTTGCTTTTTACTCACTGATTTAGTAAGAAGTTCAAAATATTTAAAACACTTAGAATTGCCTGGCAAGGAAGAAGCTCTCAATACTTGTTAGCTTCTATTGTTAAATTTTCTTATTCTTATTAAAGAAAGTTTGTCTCATAATCCTGTGTGCTTAGAAAGTGATTTTTAGGAGCTGGGGATTTAGCTCAGGGGCATAACGCCTGCATGGCAAGCTCAAGGTCATGAGTTCGATTCCCGGTACTGGAAAAAAACCAAAAAAAAAAAAAAAAAAAAGAAAGAAAGAAAGTGATTTTTAGCCATAAATTCCTAAGAATAACAGAGTGATGACAAAGGAACTTGGAGCTTTTTGGGAGATCATATAAATGTGATTTAACACATTTTCATACCATTTAGAGCTTTAAACAGTCAAGCTGGGGCTGATGGTGTAGCTCAGTGGTGGAGTGCTAATCCAGCATGAGTGAACCCCTGGTTTCCATCCCCAGCACTGCAAAATAATAATAATAGTAGTAGAAGTTGACATGAGAATAATAATAATCAGGTTAAACATTAGTGCAGCAGTCATTAGAAAATATTGGTTTGAAAAATCTGTCAGTACTCTTGTGTTCAGCTTCTGTTTCATGTCAATTTTCCGCTGGGTATGGTGGTGCATGCCTGTAATCCCAGCACTCAGGAGGCTGAGGCAGGAGGATTGTTGCCAGTTCGAGGCCGGCCTGGGCTACAAAGTAAGTTCAAGACCAGCCTGAACTGCATAGCGAGACCCTGTCTCGAAAGGACAAAAAAAAAAAAAAAAAAAAAAAAAAATCATGTTAATTTTCCTATTTGAGTTTCTTAGTGCTAAGCATGTTTATTCTAACTTACATTTATTAAAAGTCTTGTAGCTGCTTCTCAGACAAAAATGAGAGAAAATACTTCCACCAAGAAACTGTTTCCACTTTGAGAACTTACTAACCAGGCACTCTGCATTTTTGAATTTACTTTACTCCCACTGACCTATTCCTGTGTTGTAATTTGTGATGAAAACTTTGTTTTACTTTAGGTTAAAAGAACCACACACCATGTCCAGAAGTCAAAAGTTTCTCATCTGGCTTTCCGATCTGTAAGAATTCTAGTTTCTTGATATGTGAGAAATTGCTATTGCTGTTAGGTCATTGCTGTAGCTATATTTATTAAATATGATACTTGTAATCCAGCGAACTTTCCCCATGTAATTGGTAACAAGAACTTGCTGAGCACCTCTCTGCAAGGGTTGACGGTGGGTCATTTAGAACTAGCTGGAGATGTAATGTCACCCACTTTTATGAGAAAACAGTCCTTCTTCACCCAACTAACTGGATCACTTGGGATTATGTAGCTAAGTAGTATCAGAGTTGGGATGAATAACCTTTCCCTCCCATTTATTTGCTGTTTTTTACAAGCCCATGATCCAAAACATGATAAAAAGTGTGTCTTTCAATATAGTATATGTAAAAGCATATATTGCCTACTGGTATACTTTTTAGAAATATTTGCACCAAGACTCAACAGCAGAAAGGTGGTCCTGCCTACAGGATGAATATCTGCTTTCAAGAAAATGCCTTTATTTCTACAACATGTTGAGTTTAAATTTGAATAAAGGGCTGGGGATGTAGCTCTGCGGTACAGTGCCTGCCCAGCAAGCACGAGGTCATGAGTTTGATTCCTGGTACCAAAAAAAAAAAAAAAAAAACCAACCAAACAAAATAATAAATTTGAATAAAAACCATAAAAATTATTCTTTATTTTGCTTTAAAATGGAGCCTTTTTAGAGCTGGGTGTGGTTGTGCACACCTGTAATCCTGGCAGGCTGAGGCAGGAGGATCATTGTGAGTTTGAGGCCAACCTGGGTTTCAAAGTGAGCTCAAGGCCACCCAGAACTACATAGTGAGCCCCTGTCTCAAAAAAGACAATAAATAAATCAATAAATAAATTGGAGCCTTTTTAATAGTCCTAAATCACGAACTTTATTGTTTACCTCCTCCTCTAAAGAGTCTTGGAGGCCAGGCATGGTGGCGCACGCCTGTAATCCCAGCACTGAGGGAGGCTGAGGCGGGTGAATCGCCATGAGTTTGAGGCCAGCCTGGGCGCCACAGTGAGTTCAAAGTCAGCTTGAAGGATATAATTTTTTTTAAGAGACACCCTAATTCATTATGTAATTGAACTATGTTGAAGAGGTTTATCTGAATTCCCGGCCTTATTTAATTTGGAAAGCTGGGAGCATAGACTTCCTGGCCTTTCCCATGCGCATGGATCCAGCAAGGAGAGTGAGGAAGCCTCTTTTCCTCTGAGGCGCTCAGGCGGCTAAGAATCGGTCTCCTGGGGATCTGCGGCAGCGCTAGGGGGAGCTTGGTTGTCCAGCCCCCAGCCAGCAGCCAAAGGGATCCAGGGTTTCTTTAAGTCATAAATCCGGCACAGCAGCCATTGTTGCCTGAGGCCTTTGTTTGCGGTGTTAAAGCATTGAAGGATTAAAGTAGGAATTACTAAATTTAATTGACTAAACTAGGAATAAAGGCTAATTCTAGGCCTTTGTTAGAACCAATAAATACCTAAATCTGCTGTGGTTTTCCTTTCTAGATTATTAATGAGGAAAACGTTATTTGACCACCTCACTGCCCGAGGCATTCAAGTAAGTTTCTGGGATGACACGTTTGGGAAACTGGTTGAACACACCTTTGACGGGCAAGGGCTTTTCAGGGACTTCATTTGTGAAGAAGTCCAGCCACCGCCGTCCTAGGCTGACCAGAGGCCACTTTAAGCCTCTTCCGTCCCGCTGCGCTTTCACTCCTGCTGCAGGTGTCCAGTCGTGGGCTCCTAAGGCCCAGCGAGCGCGCTGCCCCCTGACTCCTCGTTCTCAGCCTGCCGCCCGCAGGCAGCCGCCTCCCCGAGCTTGCCCAAGCTCGCCCTGGCAGGGAGCCGCACCCCCTCTCCGATGAACCCCCCCATCAAAAACCCCGCTTGGACCTTTCCCTCCCAGCGCCCTTTATGCTCCTGGCCTGTGGGAGAGTTTCCGGTACGGCAGTGCCAGGGCCGTGTCTCAGGTTTGTTCTGAAACAAAGCTGGGCCTTGGTTTGTTCTTCGTTTTTCCTCGCAGTTTCAGCCCAGACTCTGATGCTGAGTCCTTACTAATTAACACATGAGGACGGTGAGCTCTGCCTGACAGCGACAGAGCAAGGGCCTCTGTGCAGCCGGACTGCTCCCATGTACCCAGGAGGGTAGCTGGGGCCGGAGATGGGGACGGTGCGTGTTTAATGAGCAGAATGGAGTTGTTCAAGGAGTTCATGGTGTCTTTGACTTCCTAAAATGACTTCCTAAAGGGGTTAGTTCTAAGTGCGCTGAGATTATAGTGGACAGATGATACAAAATTTTTTTTCTATTGTAACATTTCAGACTTCTCATGATTCTTATTTTCAGGTGTACGTTTGGGTATTAAATGATGAACAAGAGTACAGAAGAGCTTTTGATCTGGGAGCAACTGGAGTCATGACTGACTATCCAACCAAGCTTAAGGATTTTTTACATCATTTTCCAGCATAGAAAAAAGTACTCGGGTGTATTAAGAGAAACCACGGAAAGACCTAAGAAGAGAATATATCACTATCATTTCCCTGAGATACTTCCAGAATGATAGACGGTTTAATCAGTTCAGTTTCGATTACCTCATTTTTAAGCCTGTATGAGAATGTAGAAACTATATATTGTATATTTATTTTAAACACTATGGCATATTTTACACTTGTAAATTGTTTAGAAAGATAACTGGTTATGAGATGTAAGTAGATTATTCATGAAGATATTTGTATATAATGCAATATGCTACTGTAACTACTTCTGAAATCAAAGACTGTTGGATAAATTTGCCATTAGCCTTCAGTGGAGGAAGAACAACTAATTTAGTAAAAGAAAGCTACTGAAGGCCATTACAGCTGTTTTGCACTGTCTCATTATGTGTAGAAACATCTTAGTTAAAAAAAGAAAGAGAATACAATGAAAGAAGAACTTGAACATCAATGTTGTAGTTTTCTGGTAAACTATACATTGTTAGCAGAAGGCAGCCTCAAAGAAATAACTGAGCCAGGCATGGTAGCACACACCTATAATTCCAATACTCAGAAGGCTGAGGCAGGAGGATCACTGCGAGTTTGAAGCCAGCCAGGGCTACAAAGTGAGTTCAAGGCCAGGCTGCATAGTGAATCCCTGTCTCAAAAAAAAAAAAAAAAAAAAGAAAGAAAGAAAAAACTGAAAATTTGTTACTTCATCAGAAATAAAATCTGGAGTCAGGGGATGTAGCTCAGTGGTACAGTGACTGCCTGACAAACGTGAGGTCCTGAGTTTGATTCCTGTTACCAAAAAAATAAGAAATAAAATCTGTAGGCTGAGTTATATTGCTGAGTTGCTGTTGTTAATGGGGATATTCTATTTGGAATCCTTTTTAAGTGTGTAACAATGCTACCATGTCTATTTTTTATACATTAAAAATAGACTTTTCACCGGGTATGGTATTGCACACTTGTAATCCCAGCACTCGATAGGCTGAGGCAGGAGGATCACCGTGAGTTCAAAGCCACCCTGAACTACATAGTGAGACCCTGTCTCAAATTAAAAAAAGAAAGTAGACTTTTCAATTGTAAATTAAGACCATGTCCAAATAGTCATGTTTTTTTATGTTTTCTCTAAAGAAATGTAAGATTTTCATTTTTTGGCCTTGACTTGACTGTTTGAGCCTATGTCTAGATTTTAAATAACATCTTGAACTCTAATAATCTTATTCAGCTGATGAAAGTGCATATCATTGTTTGTAATTCTGCTAGTATGACAGACACATTGTCCCTGGTCTTTAAGAAATCAGTCTTCTGAATAGTAAGTAGAAACAGATTTCCCCAAAATATTAGATATCACTTGCTCATGTTTCTGATTTTTTTTTGTACTAATTTTTACGATCTCAAATTGGGAGACAAATATAATCTGGAATAAGTGTCTTTTACCAAGCTTGTCTCTCTCATTCAGAGTTTGCTAACTGTACAGCTATGAAGGATGACTGTACTCTCACCTGCCCCTGGGTGACATATGTATTATTTGCTTTGTTGTTTAAACTGAAATAAAGTTTTCCAAGAACAAAATAAGGGTTATTAATTGTTTTATATCGTAGTTCCAAGTATATTCTATAAGCTTTTCTGCAGAATTTAACGAAGTGATTAATTGATGGTGTGAGTGAATGCACCTTAGATTTCACTCTCAAAAAATACAGCTGGAGGGG